ACACAAAATGATTCCTTAGATTGTTTTGTACACAAAAGTGTTGACCAAAAGAAATATTTATGAAAATGTGAACTTTTTACTCTACCTGAAATAACAGGGTCAAATATTTTAAAAAGAAATTGAAACGGGAAATTTTAGAGAAATTTATTTTTTTTTTTAATATTTTTAACTCTCTTTGACGAAAATTAGACAGGAGAAAATATAATTGTCATGTTTTATGTGTTCTATTTTTTGCGCTAATGTTTTAAACCTATATAAATATATATATTTTTACAAGTAAATGCAACAATTGATCATCTTATATGTGTTTCTAAAATTTTGCTATTTTGTAATTTCTTTTATAGAAGGGGAACCAATATGTTCTCCCAGTTGTGATAAAAATTTAATCACAGATTTAAAAAATATTCACAAATGATGTGTTTTATTTCACTTTATATTTTAATTAAAAATTTTAATTATATGAAACTATACAATTAATAAGTTTAACATTGCTGCTAAATTTTAAAACCATTTTGATGCAAATAATTTTTTTTCTACTGAAAAAATACAAAAAAAAATCATATAAAATAATAAAAACTGACTTGCGTGTAAACAGTTTAAAATGGTTGACCTCGGGATCTGCTCTAAACAAGTTGGCATCAGCAGTGAGTTATCGAATTAATAACAAAAAATATTTCGAGCACCACACAGAGAGACAGTTGAAAAAATACCTAAACATGTTGTAATATGGCTGTAGGATCCGTACAAACGGGGAGGGGGGACAGGGGGACTTGCATGCCCCAATAATTTTGCCGATATGTAGAATACTATAGAAAACACTACGAGATATGCTTGTGTTCCTCAATGAAATCGTCTGCTGACCTTTTTTTATCTAATTTAAGTGAAGTAGAATAAATAGTGTTTTACTATAAAAAAAAATAACCTTTATCTATCCAGGATAACACAATTAGCATAGAGCTAGTTTTCATTGTGGTCCTGCATGTACTTTGTATTTATAACGGGTATAAATCATTCACCCTGAAGCAATACAAAACTTATATTAATGGAAGTGACGTAGATTTCTGTTTTGCACCTGGAAACTTTTGCCTCTCCCTTGTAGGTTTTTTTTGCCTTGAATTAGATCAAATAAAGGTAAATAATTATTATGTAGTTTTTAAAACAATTTTTTTAATTTACGAAACTAAATAAATACCCCATAAATTGTATTCAAAGTTTGATAAGAAAAGTAGGAAAGAAAGATTTATTTTCTATTAAACTTTAATATTTTTAATATTGATACAAATATTATGGGGATCGTATAGTACATGTATATATATACGTACATGTAAAGACTTGTGTGACTTTCTGAATGCAAGATGTGTATGTATTTGACTGAAAATTAAGAGTTTTCAATCAGCTCTAACTGTAGTGAAGTAATTATTTTGTCCCAGGATCAAAAGGTCCAGGGGGTATATTGTTTTTACCCCGTCTGTATGTTTGTCTGTCCGATTGTCTGTCTCTCTGTCTGTCTGTTGTCAACTTTAACCCAGCCCATAACTATTGAGTGTGTGGGGTTATGGCTTTTATATTTCCCAGGTGTATTCCTTGTGACAAGACCTTTCCATTGGTACATTGTACCACCAGATTTGATCTCTTGACCTTTGAGTTTGACCTACTTTTACATAAAAATAACACACTTTAACATTGAACATACATGTAACTTTTGATGATTTGGAGCTAGGGCTTTCATTCCTTATATGTGTGTTCACTGTGACAAGACCTTTCAGCTGGTATAAATATTTTTGACTTCCTAAGAGTTTTACCCCCTTTTTAAAAAAATTAACCTTTTTGGGTACCTACACATTTGACCTTGACCTTTGGTCGCCATTAGCTGCCATACGGGGGCATCAGTGTTTCACAAACATATCTTGTTTTTATTATGCATTATTGAAAGTAAATCAGAAATAATAATATAGAACTGAATTTTTCAGAAACTCAGACTGATGGTCATCGACGAAAATCACTAAAATAGAAGTGATGTCAACAGTTCTTTGGGGATAACAGCGTTCACAAATTAAATTTAAATTTGAATATCGCAGGGGAAAAATTGTTTGACTGTTATACCTCAAACTAGTACTGAAATAAAATGTAAATATTGTCCATTTTTAAGCCAATACCTGGTTACATGTACATGTATGATGTGATTGATCGATTGTGCTTTGTTTATTGACCCATCCAAGAATGTTTCACTCATACTGTATTGGGTATTATATACTCATATATTATATTGAGATTTTTCGATACACTATAGACACACACGCCAATCTTAAAATAAAGTGAAATTCGTTCACCCATCTAGATTCGCGCAGGATTTAATATCTAATTTAGCTTCCGTTGTATCAGTTTATGTCTTGCATATTAACTATACCTTGACTTCATATAACTTTTTTGATGAAAAATAGATACTTACTGAATTTTTATGCGGGAGAGAATTAGTCCTATGAGTATCACTCCACGCACATAATTGCACCGATACAGAGATCCTATGTAAGGAGTTGAAGCCAAAAACAAAAACAAAAAATGGGTACATGTAACTTCATTGCATTCATTGTTGAATTATTGAAAAAGACGGGTTTATAAATAGCAGAAAACCTTCCCACTCTCTTTTCTTTCTACTTCACTTTTTACTCTCTCCCCACTTTCTACTTCCCACCCCCTCTCCTCTCAATCTCCCTATCTCTGCCCTCTCTCTATCCTCCATCTCTTTCCTCTCCCTATCCCCTCTGCCTACTCTCTCTCTCTCTCTCTCTCTCTCTCTCTCTCTCTCAATTTTCCAATCTCTATCTCCACTCTCTCTCTTTCCTCTCCTGCACTCTCACTCTCTCCACTCCACTCTCCCCTCTCTCTCTCTCTCTCTCTCTCTCTCTCTCTCTCTCTCTCTCTCTCTCTCTCTCTCTCTCTCTCTCTCTCTCTCTCTCTCTCTCTCCAATATCTCCCCCTTCTTTCATCTTCACACTCTTCTCTTCCCACACACACTCTCTCTCTCTCTCCATATTCTCTCTCTCCCTACACTCTTGTTCCCTCTCCACTCTCTCTCTCTATTTCTCTCCTCCCATACTCTACCCACACACACTCTCTCTTTCCACACACTTTTCTCTCTCTCTCTCTCTCCCTCCCCACTCTTCTCTCTTTCTCCCACACATTCTTTCTCCCCACACACACACTCTTTCTCTCTCTCTCTCTCTCACCCACTCTCTCTCTCTCTCCCTCTCGATCTCTATCTTTATCTCTCCACTCTTTTACACTCCCTTTCTTTATTTTTTTTTTTAGACTTTTGACTCAGCTTCTTTCCATTTTTTCACTTTTCACAATTTGTGAAATAAACTATTTATATGCATGATACATATATTTTTCAAAGTTATGCAAAATAAACATAATATGAAAATACTTATGATAGAATAAATGATTTTTTTTTTATCGTAATTATAAAAGAAATTAGAGAATGTTTTTATTGATCTTTTTATTTTTAATTATATGAAGCATAATTGTTTGTTTTTACAAAAAGGAATGTATTTTAAAATTATAACAGCGATAACTTCAAAGAAAATACTGTTTCCTAGTTTTCAGTTTGAACACTGCGTTAAATATGTTTGCGTATTTAATTTGATATGCTTGAATAACAGCATTTAAATATTTACTAGCATGTAAGTTACATGAAATGGCAGCTAAAAATCCCAGATATATACAGTAGATGTAAAATATTTGTTGTACCGTTATGAATAGTAGACGTGAGCCTTGTGTCCTAGATTATGCACATGCAGAGAGGAGGCATAGGCGTCGGAACGCATAAGCGTCGGGGGGCTGGGGGGCTAGGCGGGTGGCTTAGCCTCCCCTTTTTTTGCAAATATATACATTATATAGGCATTGAAAATTGAGGTTTACCTATTTTTTGTTGGTTTAGCCCGCCACTTTCAATTAGCCCCCCTCCCCACTTTCCATTTGCTTCCGACGCCTATGGGAGGTACAACTGTAACTAATTAAATATTCTTTATTTTACCTCGTATGTTATTAAGGTTTTACATTCACTGGCATTTTTATTCAAACGTGTACTGTTTATAAAACTACAGGTAATCTTGTTGCTTTCAATTAACATTTCCTATAGTGTAAGTATGTAACCATAGCCCCTGTTAGGGTTTTACATTCACTGGCCTTTTTATTCAAACGCGTACTGTTTATAAAACTACAAGTAATCTTGTTGTCTTACTCTGCTACATGTAACCATAGATTTCCGCTCAACATTTTTGAATGAACAGCTTATTAACCGTTAGGCCATCAGTACGATATGAGCAAATGATCACCTCGTTACAGGCCCTGGCCATGCTTCGGAGGAAATCAATTAATCAATCTAGCCATTCAGTAAAAGAAGATAGTCAAACGAATTTTGGACTTTTTGGACACAACAAATATTGTTGCAAAGTTGAAGTTGCCTCTGTCGCACATAACGCTACTTGTACGTAACATTCTAAAGTTTGTAAATCGTAAAACAGTTACTGGTATGGTATTAATCATTGATTTCAATTCTCCATTTTCCAGTATTGATTTTCACTCCCTAATTCACAATTTTTAAATTAACCTGTATATTTTATCCACCTCCCTACTCTTTATAGTCGTCTGTATGGGCCAGTAAACTCACTTTTGGGGAAATTTCTGCCATTTAATTTTTTTTTAAATTTACATCAAAACAAGCACTCATACTGCATTGGGAGGTGGATAAAATTTACATGTTCATAAAAATGTGATTAAGGGAGTGAAAGGTACATTGTAATTGATTGACTAATGCTGGAAATTAGAGATATTTTGTCCAGGAAATCTTGAGCTGTAAATTAATTGCATCTTACATGTATCTGTGGCGGTATGGTACCGGGTATTATAGCATAAAAACTACAACGCTACAGTTCTGAAGCTAGCAGCGTAAATACGTAATACGAAGAAATTCGAAATTTAATGAAAAGACAAAAAAATAATGTCCACATACTTTATTTAAATGACAGAGCAAGACTAATTAGAACCATGCTGCAGTGCATGATTTGAGGAAAAGGCAGTCTTCTTAACTATCCCCCCTTGAGCCCCAGGATTAACGCGTATAATATCTCATTTTAAAAGATTTTATTATACAATATTGTGAAAAATAGGAATTACGAATTTCTAGGAAGGGGTTCTTTTTTCAACGTGAGAGGAGTCGTAGAATAACCGGCCTGGAAGGATTACTAAGGAGGTGTTAAGAAAGTTCTATATTTTTCTTTCATTTTGGAAAAGAAAAACAATGAGAAGATATTTAAAATACCGGTATGTCACATTTCATGTTCACAGAGTCCATTCTTACTTCTGATAAGGTTTTCCCTTTTGAACTGTTGAAACATGTAAACGAAAAGGGGAAGGACAGGTATTACAACAGATGAATTATGTGCAGAAAAAATGGAGATACAGCATATTTGTTATTCATTATTATACGTCAATCGACGTTTAAACACCGGCAACAAAAACTGAAATAAATTAATCGCAAATTTCATATACATACATGTTGCTACAGAACTGTAGCGTTATGGTTTTATATTAAACTATAGAGCTACAGTTATGTAGCTATAATGTATGCATATATTTTATAAAAGATCTGGCGTAACATTTTTACGATAATATGATTATCCTACTTTTGATCTTAAGATATGCTGTCAATATATATATATTGTGCTCACTAATTAAAGACTACCTTGTAAATGGTGATCTTATTTCCTGTGGTAAAAAAATACAAAAACTAAAAAAAACTACAAGGTTACGTACTTTTATCATACTAGGACGTTAGTATTTACATGAACTTCATTCAGTAATATCAGATTATGGCTACTAAAATACCTTACGTGCTCAAGCCTTTTTAACAAATAAAGGATATGAAAATAACGAACAGTATTCAATATCAAAGTCATAAAACAATACAACATAAGAGAGAGCAAACACTGACCTCCAAAACATCAGAGGTGGGATCAGGTGCCATGGAGGAGTGAGCATCCCCGAAAGTACAAAATGTCACGTGACTGTATCATTAATAATTCAAGAATCTAAATATATAATCTACAACTCAATTTCGCAGATGTAACTATTGTCGTTAGAACAGCTGGTATCGTGCCATTTATATTGTGAACGCTGAAACAGGATAACACAATCTGCTGTGCCAGTTCGGTCTGGGTTCCCGGGACCCCAGTTGGTGTACGTAAACTCCTGAGAGTGACCCTCCCACATGAACACCCCGTCCTGTGCAGCATCTGTTCCTCCTATCCAGAAATCACGTGTTTTATAATCTACAAAAACAGCGGAATTTTAAGATGCAATTACTTCTTCAAGGGTAATATCCCCCAACTGAAGCGATTGTCACATTGCAGGTTTACATGTACATGTATCTGTTCGCATGTTGTGACTTTGTGTAATATGTTAAATTTTTGGTTACTCAAGGATAATAAATACTAGTAATTCCCATTACTTTAAATACATTTAAATCAAAATAAAAATTTCTTGACATTTGGTAGCAAACATTAATTGCTGATACATGTAAACGACAAATGACGCAAACAATCTGTGAAAAAAATGATAATGGAAATAAATTTAATCAACTTACCTGTGAGTCCTTGGCCTTTTACGTAGTCCCGAATAAAAGTATCTTCTGCTTTACTTGTGATTCTCAGATACTTTGAGCTTCCATGCTTTCTCTCGCATTGATTCTACAAAATGGTAATTAAAAAGGATCTCCCAAAACTCTAAAGGACCCGGTGCAAACAAGAATTCATGACACCGTTTTATTTGAAAGTAGACTTAAGTATTTAAAAGAAATAAAACAATTCTTTTTGGTATGTCATTTCAGGTGGAAGTCAATTAAGTATCATTTTATTTATTTTATTTATGTAATATATATCTCTCACTTTCCCGTGAGTCCAATTTCCGTAGTCGTACCCAAAGATATAACAGGAACTTTGAAATTGAATCCATCCAGCCGGACAACTGACAAACGGTTCTAAAAATAATGCAAAGTATTATTTTTGAATTGCCTTTTTGGTCCATTCCATAAAAATAATTTATTCTCAAAGATGAATTTAATTTTTAGTTTCCACTTTTTGCTTTGCATGACTAGGCTATGGCTTTACTTAGAAACTCAACATTATCTCTTCTCTTATAATTGACACTATAATCAAATTGTTTTAATGACAGTGTTATCGAATTTGATAAAGGAATTTCAAATCAAACTTCTATTATATTTCGTATGCTTTACAGTTGCATTTGATGACATGGAATCACTTGTCTTTTCTTGGTTTTGATCAATACATCGAGAGAGTGGATAACGTTTGAGTGAACCGATTTTTTTATATATAAAGTTCTCTCACTTTCATTAAAAGAAAATATCATTCGGACTTTTCGTAGCATACTTACCAGTATTGACAGGTAAAGATTTCATTTCTAGTCTGAATTTTGCAATTTCCTCCATGAATATTTTTTTAAGAATCCTTAATTCCCTGTCTATGCACTGTTTGCTGACGTCATCATAATTGTTGGATTTCGTCAGCAGTTGGGCAACGTTTCTGTGTAAGATCAGCAGACATAGCACTGTGAAACTGCTTGTATTCATCGTAGCGATGATGAGGAATGACCTTAACATAATGTTTTACACAAAGTTAAATTACTCACGTAGGAAATCCCTTTACTTGTAATTATAGAAAAGTTTTTTCTTCCTTATGTACATGTACTTCTTTGAAAGAGTAGAAAGTAGACATAAGAACTTTCCGGTTCAAAGAAGCACCTCGCTTTTAATTAAGAAAAAGATAAGATGGACAGGGTTTACAGTGTACGGTATCTAATTAATACCAAAAATATCAATTTCACATATAATTTTACTGAGCTCACTATCTGAGTAGAATTGAATAGGTAGCCGTCCTAATCACTTTCTTAATGAAAATTAGCTTTATGATTTTTTTTTTTTTGTTTCTTTGTCACTAGTACCTTTTGTTGAAGGTTTATTGGGGGGTATATGTTTATTTCTTTATCTGTAAAAATTTATTTTCTATTTACTTATTTATCTTTAAAAAATATGAATGGCTTATTTGACCTATATACACAATTAAAAAATCGCTTTTAAAAAATAATAAATAATAAAGCTAGAATTAGATCAAGCATAAGAATGTTTGAATGATGGCATCATGATAGCGCAATCAGAAAAAAAAAAATTAAAAAATAGCAGTTAAAAAAATGTTTTTATTTTAATTTAATTTAAACATATTTCTCTTAGACTATTATATAAACATGCAGAGAACACTAGACACACTGGAGAGGTGAAAATTCCCTTTTGTTCCTGTAACAGTATACCACAATGATCTAAATGATTATAATTGTATCAATATCTTTGATTAGTTGCAGCAATTTCTAAACAAATTCATAAAAAATAACATGTCAGTAAAAAACAAAGATTTTTAAAAAGTCAAAGATTTTTCGATATTAAATAATAAATACTATTATTTTGCATAACAGAATCAAGTCAATGTATAGTAAATCAGTAATATCAATACTTTTTAAAAATTTATTTCCAGGAGCAATATTTATAATAATAAAAGAAAAATTGGGTGAAATGACTCAAAAAAGAAAACATTAATCTCTTTCTTTTTAGCTCACCTGAGCCGAAGGCTCAAGTGAACTTTTCTGATGAAAAATTTGCCCGTTGTCTGTCGTTGTCGTCGTTGTCGTCGTAAACTTTTCACATTTTCATCTACTTTTCAAGAACCACTGGGCCAATTTCAACCGAACTTGCCAATAAGCATCTTCTGGTAAAGGGGATTCAATTTTGTTCAAATGAAGGGCCAAGTCTTCTACCAAAGGGAGATTATTATGAATTAATGAAAACTTAATGGGATCTTTTAAAAATCTTCTTCTCCAGAATCATTGGACCAGGAAAGATGAAACTCATGTGGAAGCCTCCTCAGGTAGTGTAGATTCAAGTTTATTGTTCAAATCATGCCCCCCCCCCCCCTCTGGAGTATGGCGGGTCCACAATGGCTGATCAAAGGCTTACATAAGAATATATAGGATTTAAAAAAAGAATTCTTCTCCAGAACCATTGGACCAGTAAATAGGAAACTTATGTGGAATCATCCTCAGATAGCGTAGATTCAAATCATGACCCCTGGGGGTAGGGCAAGACCATAATGGCTGATCAAAATTTTACATAGAAATCTAGGATTTTTTAAAAAAATCTTCTCCTCCAGAACCGCTAGGCCAGGAAAGATGAAACTCATATGGAAGCATCCTCGGAAATGTAGATACAAGTTTGTTCAAATCATGATTCCCGCGGGTAGGGCGGGGCCACAATGGCTGATCAAAGGTTTACATAGGAATATATAGGATTTTTTAAAAATCTGTTTTCTCCAGAACCATTGTACCAGAAAAAAAGAAACTCATGTGGAAGCCTCCTCAGGTAGTGTAGATTCAAGTTTATTCAAATTATGATCCCCCGAGGAAAGGACAGACCACAATAGCTGATTAATTTTTTACATAGGAATACATAGGAAAAATCTTTTAAAAATCTTCTTTTTAAGACCAGCAAAGCTAAGATTGGCGATATTAATATGGAAACATCGTCAGTAAGAGTTAATTCAAGTTTGTTCATATCATGACACATGGGGGTAAGGTGGGGCCATAATGGGCAATTAAATATTTACATTGAAATATATCTATTAGGAAAAATCTTTAAAACTCTTCTTCTCAAGTATGACAAATTATACATGTGTGCTTTATTGATAAAGTGACAATTTTTCAAGTAATAAAAAATTCAACCCCCACCGCCAAAAAGTAAACTTTTCAATACTGAGCTGATTTGTTTTTTTAATAGCCCATATGCTCAGGTGAGCGATGTGGCCCATTGGCCTCCTGTTGGCTATGTTTTGGAAAATCCATTTAACATTGTTTATGATTTTTTACGTCCGTGAGGAAATCTGATGATAAAATCGCCTACGACGTGCATTTTGACTATCAGATTGTGCTATAAGAATAGTGTAACGAAGTAAGAGGATAATTTTAGCAAATATGTTTCATGAGCACTAATACACATAACGTGACAATACAGCAAAAGAATTTCTGTAACATGACCGTAGGGTCCGAGCGAGGGTGTAGGGCACGGGGGAGGGGTGCCGAAATATTTTTGTCGATATTTAGATAAGTGTCGAAAAATTCGCTACTTTATGTTAATGTCCTTTCAGTAATAACGTCTTATAACTTTTCTTTTATGTAGTGCCCGTTAAAACGTCTTATAGCGTTTTTTGTAGTACCTCCAAGCTGAAAATGTTTCCCCTCCACTAAAAATAAAGTTTTTTCGGGCCTGTTTAGTCAGTTTAAACATAATTGGTGTCTAAAAAAAATTCCAAAAACGTTTATATCTCAGCAACAGTATTTATTTTGTAGTTAGACATAAATAACACTGAATTATACTGCAGTGAGATGTATTCCTGTATTTCACAAAGTAAAAATCCCTATGTTTAAAATAAACTATATACTGGTAGTATGCATGTGTACGTTTGAGACAGAAAGCATATCAGGGTCATATATAGTGGTTATTAAATAATTTAGTCATCTGCCAAAAGTCGAATGTTACTGATAAAACAAATTCTTTTCTGAACGATTAAATAATGCTGAATGGTCGCACCAAAGATCAAGACAAAAGCTTTGTCCCAAAATCAACACAGCAGGCCTGGGGGCCATAAAACTTAGATGAGCTCACTTTTGGTCTCAGTCTCACTTTTTCCACAGGAATTAATTGTGGAAAGTGAGACTGAGATCAAAAGTGAGCTCGTCTAAGTTTTATGGCCCCAAACCAGGATTTCGGTGGAAAGTTTCTTTCCTATCAGATAACATCAATCTGTCGTATATTCACATGTAAAATGAGACACGTGTGCGGTCAAAAGTACACAGGCTTAAACTAATTTAAACGAAAATTATATGATGTGATGGGTGATGTACAATGTGTAACATGACTCCATAATTAGGAATTTAATCAAGGAACTTCTAAGGATTTTTTTGTTGTATATTTTTTTTCTAATGGCTTATATTTAATAGGCAAAACAGTGGCGGATTTAAGGGGGGAGCACCCGGCGCGCGCGCCCCCCTAAAATTATCAAAATTAACGTAAATCACAGTTTCGTCTAGAAAATGTAAATATGTATACTTGGTAGACCTCATTTTTACCCTACAAAATCGCTAGAATCCAGGAGCTTCCGGGGGCTTCGCCCCCTGGGTCCCCCACCAGGGCTCTGCCCTGGACCCACTGGGGGCCTCAAGGCGGACCCCAGACCCCTTGCTACTTCTGGCGCCCCCTCTAACTTCAATTCCTGGATCCGCGCCTGCAAAATCTTGATTATTGTACTTAATTTTCTTAATTCTTTACCTGAATCTTTGACATTAACGTGTCCGCAATAAATACTTACCAAATATATTTTTTGGATTAAGGCAAAGTTATCCTTTGGAAGTTAAAACTTTTCCCATAAAATACAAAATCTATTTTTAATCTGCGCGAATTTATGGATTGTGATTATACTTATATATATAAACCTCAGTTCCAAGTAAGGAAGTAAATCATTGGCTCTACATTTTATTTACATTGAATTTCCTCTCCGGAAACGACTGGAAAACACAAAATAAAATCCTTCTCAAATTAACCCCTTTACATGTACTTAAGAAAAAAATATATGTACAGTATTTTTATACCATTTAAATTTTGTTCTTATATAAATATATCGGAAAAAAGTATAACATTTCTAATGTTTTGCTGAGCGGGCATAAAAAACGCAATGTTTGACCGCTGAGTGAGATATTGGACCGGTCGATGAGATGTTGGAACGCTTACATTACAGAATGGGCGTAGCTTAATGTAATTTTCATTTGTTATAGATTAAGTATTCAACAGTGATGGACCTGAGGTTACACCACTAAAGACAGTCCAAAATATTTAAATGTCAAAAAATCTATAGAAAATGAAATCTATAACAAAACATCTATTGACTATGTTTTCGGGCAAAATGCGATTTGTCGACCCTCGAACCAAACTGTCTGCCTTCGTCCTAAAGGCCTCAGAGACAGTTTAGTTCTTAGGTCCGAAAAAACGCATGTTGCCCCCGAACTCAGTCAATAAATGTATAATACAATGTAAATGTAAAACTGAATGTTGAAAAGTTAAGGTAGGATTCTTCTCATATTTCTAATATTTAAAAATCAACGAAATTTTCACAGAATCAAGAAGACAACATCAGTTAGTGATAGTATCAGTGAAATTAAATTTGACCGTTTTATATTAAAGGCAAGGTCAGGTCAAGGTCATCATCTTTTTCCTTGATATTAAAAGTAAAAAATAACTGTTGCCAATCATGTGATTCCAACTTCTATTTCAAAAGTTTAATGCTTGTTCTTTTTGCATAAAAACATATTACTATATCAGGTCTATAGCATAATATTACCAAATTTACATAAATAATTTAACTAAACTGGATATTGGCTAATCCGAATTTTCTCTGTTTTTCTTAATTTTTTAGGATATATTAGTTATTTTCATATGCTTCCTATATTTAACTTTTTCTTATATTCACATATAATGAAGTAGCCTTATAAATGTACAAAATGATACAAAAACAAAAAGTTTTGATCGTTTACTAAGAGAGAAAAAATACTTTTTATGGATTTTTGGCTCAAATCTTCACTTTGATAGGAAGCGTTTAAAAGCTAACAAAGTTCTTGTTTGTTTGAAAAATCATATTTATTTGATATATTTTGAAAGTTTAGTCCCTCATTATTAATTTAACTTACATTTGAAAATTTCTCCAAGTCTTTGATTGTGTAAAAATTGTACCTAAATTCATTGTTCTATTATAATTTTGAGAGGCAGAAAAGAAGATATTTTCATACGCCACCAATCCGCCAAAAATATAGTCCCTCCTAGTTTTCAAACGCAGTTTACCATTTCTATTTAAAGTTGTACAATTGTGGTGAGGAAAGAAAAATATGGTATTTAAATCTCTTACACCTAAATATATAAGACATATAAGCAAATATACCTTGAATATTTCATCTAGTCAGAAACCAGAGAAGAATCCTACCTTAAGTACAGCTATTTGTAAGAACCAGGCAGGGGGTGATTCATGACCAATTCAGATTTTTACAAAATTTTAATATGTTGCTTCATGGACCAAGGGAACATCATTGGACGACATATTTTTTTTGGTCAGCCTTTGTTGCCATGGAAACAATGCACCATGTAAACGCACATGGCAACCAAGCAAAAAATTGAAAATATTGTGAATTTAGCTATTATTTAACGCAGGAACAGACCTCTTCTGATGAAAAAAATATAAATAAATCTCTTTTTTTTCCTGAAAAGTACATATAAAATGATTAATGATTACCATAAGGATAAAATTATTCAGGATTTATAAAAGGTGCTGAACGTCAATTTAATATACAGTGTTTCATGAAATTCACTTTTTACAATATTTCTTAAAATCTAACATATTTTAGAAGCATATTAAGAAAAAGGCCCGCATGATAAAGAAATCTGATAACATGGAACAGAAAGAGCACATTCTTTATTTTAATAAAATGAAATAAAACCCATGGGTTTTTAAAAATATTCTGTAACAACCATGACAACGAAATATCAGAAAAATTCATTTTTTCACAAAAATATCCATTTTTAGAAGTAAAGTGTAAAAAAAGAAAATTACACATGTTAAGGAAACCTGATAACATGGGATAAAAAGAACACATTCTCAATTTTAATAAGATTCAATTAAACCCAATTTTTTTTCAAAAATATTCTGTTACCATGGCAACGAAATATCACAATTTTTCACAAAATAATCACTTTTAGAGGCATAGTAAGACAAAAATCACACATGTAAAGAAAATCTGATAACTTGGGATAGAAAGAGCACATCCTTAATTTTAATAAAATTTAGTTATACCCATGGGTTTTTAAAAAATATCCTGTTACCATGGCAACGAAATATCACAAAAATTCATTTTCAAAAATTACTCATTTTTAAAATCATAGTTAGACAAAAATCACACATGTTAATTAAACCCAATTTTTTAAACGAACATTCTCGTGAACTATATCGCTTATTCGTGCAAATGTTTTTCTACATTGGAATATAATATACATACAAACGATATGTTTTTCATGGTAAGGATAAACAAATCAACTTTAAACACGATTCTAAATAAGTACTGTAGTATGTATACGTAATAAGTCCTCAAACCACTTGATGATTCACCGGATATCATAGGGTAGTAAAATAGGCTGTGGTATACTCTAGGGCTCAGTTAGCTTCAGAGGTTAAAATTAATAATACCAGATAGACACAAATAAAAATCTTGTTTTGAACATTTTATAAACAAGATGTGTTTAATAAAAGTTTAATAAGTGGAGTATGCATATTAAATATGAAGCCTCTATCTCTTATGGTTCAGAAGTTGTGGCGAAGGTTAAAGTTGACAGAAAGACAAACAGAAATTTAGCAGGCAAGGCAAAAACAATATACGCCGGGATCTATCGATTCGGGCACAAAAAATATTCAAAACTATTCAAAACTTCTCTTCGAAGATTCGTGGTTATGATAGTTTTTTTAGCTCACCTGAGCCGAAGGCTCAAGTGAGCTTTTCTGATCACATTTTGTCCGTCGTCCGTCCGTCCGTCTAGCTGTCTGTCCGTCTGTAAACTTTTTACATTTTCGACTTCTTCTCAAGAACCACTAGGCCAATTTTGACCAAACTTGGTATAAAGCATCCTTGGGTAAAGGGAAATTTAAATTGTTAAATTGAAGGGCCAAGTTTCCTCACAAGTGGAGATAATCAAGAAAAGACAAAAATAGGGTGGGGTCATTAAAAAATCTTCTTCTCAAGAACCACTGAGCCAGAAAAGCTGAAACTTATGTGGAAGCATACTGGGGTAGTGTAAATTCTAAATTGTTCAAATCATGACCCCCGGGGGTAGGGCGGGGCCACAATGGGGAATCAAAGTTTTATATGGAAATATATAGGAAAAATCTTTGAAAATCTTCTTCTCAAGAACCACTGAGCCAGAAAAGCTGAAACTTATGTGGAAGCATCCTGGGGTAGTGTCGATTCTAAATTGTTCAAATCATGACCCCCGGGGGTAGGGCGGGGCAAAAATGGGGAATCAAAGTTTTACATAGAATTATATAGGAAAAATCTTTGAAAATCTTCTCAAGAACCACTGGGCAAGAAAAGCTGAAACTTACGTGGAAGCATCCTGGGGTAGTGTAGATTCTAAATTGTTCAAATCATGACCTCTAGGGGTAGGGCGGGGCCACAATGGGGAATCAAAGTTTTACATAGAAATATATAGGAAAAAGCTTTGAAAATCTTCTTCTCAAGAACCACTGAGCCAGAAAAGTTGAAACTTAGGTGGAAGCAACCTAGGATAGTGTAGATTCTAGACTGTTCAAATCATGACCCCGGGGGTAGGGCGGGGCCACAATGGGGAATCAAAGTTTTACATAGAAATATATAGGAAAAATCTTTGAAAATCTTCTTCTCAAGAGCCACTGGGTCAGAAAAGCTGAAACTTATATGGAAGCATCCTTGGGTAGTGTCGATTCTAAATTGTTCAAATCATGACCCCCGGGGGTAGGACGGGGCCACAATGGGGAATCAAAGTTTTACATAGAATTATATAGGAAAAATCTTTGAAAATCTTCTTCTCAAGAACCACTTGGCCAGAAAAGCTGAAACTTATCTGCACATGGAAGCATCCTGGGGTAGTGTAGATTTCAAAATGTCTAAATTATGATCAGTGGGGTAGGGTGAGGTTGCAATATGTATTAAAAGGGGGAAATCTGGTAAAGAACAGAATGGTCAAAGCTTCTCAGGTGAGCGATGTGGCCCATGGGCATCTTGTTGCCCTACCCGTCCATCTGTCTGTTTGTTTGCAAAATCTTTATTTCTGACTTTGTAGTGGGTGATGCTATGGCTTTCATATTTCACAGGTGTATCATTTGTGACAAGACCTTTCTTCTGGTACCACCAAATTTGAACTCTTGACCTTGGAGTTTGACCCACTTTTTGCAAAAATACCAAACTTTAACCTTGATCATAACTTTTGAACGGTTAGAAGTTTCATACTTCACATTTGTATTCATTGTGATACTAGCTTTAAATTGATATAAATATTTTTTTTACCTTGACCTTCTAGTTTGACCCACTTTGTAAAACACTTTAACCTTGGCCATAACTTTTGGTCAAAGTCTTGTCATAAGGAGTACATTTGTGAAATATAAAAGCCATAGTTCCACCCAATGAAAAGTTCTGGGAAAGATTGAAGTTATTGCGGACAAACAAACAGACGGACGGACAGAGCAAAAACTATATACCTCCAAATTTTCGGTTACGGGGCATAACAATTGATTCTAAATATTTTTTAATTATTAAGGTTTCATCAAAGGTCAACAAGTCCAAAAAATTATTTTTACAATAACTCCAAAACTATGTGAGGCATAAAGTTAAAACTTTTACATTTTATAATTTTTTCATAGATTAACAGATAGAAAGTATCACTTGATAAAAAATACTAGGAAAAAATGTTTAAATTGAGAAAAAATCTTTTTAAATACGCATATTTTTTCAGAAAATGCACCTAATTTATTCCGTGCTTTTAGTGAAAACCATCACTGCAGAAACAAAATATGTTTAACAATGAAGGGCACGTTGGACTTGGATAGCCTCTGGAAAGTTGTTTGTCCTGTTTATTTTGTCCAAATGTTAAGACTTGAAAGCGAAAGTACATTGCAAATGGCGGGTTCTACAGGGTCTTGTCTTTATACATGTCATGCTTTCAATAACAGCCTTTCAGAGACCATTCACGTCCAACTTGTCCTTCAATGATAAACATATATTATTTCTGCAATGATGGTTTTCACAAAAAGGACAGAATTAAGCAGGTGCAAATCTCTTTAAATATGTACATTTTCTGATATATTTTTCTCAAAAAATATCTTTTTAAAATATTTGTTATCAAGTGATACTTTCTATCTTTTAACCAATGATATATTTACAAAATGTAAACATTTTGACTTTATACCACACATAGTTCTGGAGCTATTGTAAAAATAATTTTTTAGACACGTTGACCTTTGGCGAAACCTTAATACACTTTTAGATTTTGACATCCGCTTCTGCATTTAGAAAATTGTAAGCTTCAAGAAAATTTCAACAAAGTAGTTAACGTTGGCAAAAACAGGACTTGCAAGTACCATGTATGTATAACTTAGCTAGCAAAGGAAGACGAATCTTTTTTGCTACGAATCTTGCCAATAATATACAGCTACTACATCATCTGCTAGACATTTTGGTAAATGTCATTACTTTTTCATTCATGGAATTAATATCACAGAACCTACTTGCTAAGATCTTTGGTACAAATATCTCAAACATACTAACGTGCGTTACAATGTAAACTGATGATTGGAAAAGTTCAGCCAGTATTTCTTTTTAAGTGATTATTACAAAATGTATAAGACTTATTTTTAAGTCTTTATTACAAGTCAATTTTTCCGACACTGAGGCCTTATCCCTCACTTACCAAAGAAACGAAATGAAAATCAGTATGTTGATACAGGGTACACTGGCAACTACACAAACACTTTATCAGAAACTATTTATCAGTAACTAAATAAAGTGACTTTATATTGCCGTATCTGTTTCCATCCCACATGTTGCGTTGTCTGTTATCTATGGCATGCTAAACATTGCAATATTCGATCTTTTCTATTTGTATTGTATAATTTTTATTTGTACTGTATCATTTTGTATTTGTATTGTATATTTTTTTCATTTGTATTGTATAATTTTTATTTGAATTGTATAATTTTCCAATTGTATTTTTATTTAGATAATGTTCCATTTGTATGGTTAAAAAATCCTTTTTATTGTATGTTTTTAGCTCACCTGAGACGAAGTCTCAAGTGAGCTTTTCTGATGACATTTTGTCCGGCGTCCGTCTGTCTGTAAACTTTTCATATTTTCGACTTCTTCTCAAGAACCACTGGGCTAATTTCAACCAAACTTGCCACAAAGCATCCGTGGATAAAGGGGATTAAAGTTTGTTCAAATGAAGGGCCATGCCCTCATTCAAGGGGAGATAATTGGGAATTAATGAATTTGGTGGCATGTTTTAAAAATCTTTTTCTCAAGATCCACTGTGTCAGGAAAGATGAAACTTATGGGGAAACATCCTCAGGTAGTGTAGATTCACATTTGTTCAAATCATGACCCCGGGGGTAGGGCGGGGCCAAAATGGCCGACCAAAGTTTTACATAGAAATATACAGGAAAATTCTTTAAAAATCTTCTTCTCAAGAATGACAAAGCCATAATTGATCATATTAATATGGAAGCATCCTCAGGTAGTGTAGATTAAAGTTTGTTCAAATCATGACCCCCAGGGGTGGGGCGGGGCCACAATGGCTGACCAAAGTTTTACATAGAAATAATTTAGGAAAATTCTTTAAAAATTTTGTTCTCAAGAATTGAATGACAAAGCCGTTATTCATCATATTTATATGGAAGCAACCTTAGGTAGTGTAGAGTCAAGTTTGTTCAAATCATGACCCCCGGGGGTAGGGCGGGGCCACAATGGCCGACCAAAGTTTTACATTGAAATATATAGGAAAATTCTTTAAAAATCTTTTCAAGAATAGTATAATTTTTCATTTGTATAGTAAAATATCTTATTTATTTTCGATAATTTTTCATTTGTATTGTACCCAATGTATTGTTTATTATTTTTTTTTTGTTGGGAAGGATTTCATTTAATTTAGCGAGATATGTATCGGGTCGGGTGAACTTAGCTCCTCTATATATATTTGCCGTGAGGCTTAGGTACTTTACTTACAGCGGATGACATGTCGTAGTTATCATTTGCTTCTTCTCCACAGATCTCGACAGGAACTGCTGGATCAATTTCAAATATAGGAAATCTATGACCTAGCTAGGAGAACTCGTGTTTGGAATAAAATGATCCATGCAGTTCTCGGTCCCAAGATTTATACGATTAATTTTAGTGGTATCCTAAAAAAATCTTTTTTATCCATGGACATCAAATAGTCAAACTATTGGCTTGATTGTAATAAGCATTGACCCTCTACAAAATTGTAAAATTAATGACCTTAGGGTCAGGGGTTCCGAGGTTAGGGAGGGGCTTTAATGATCTTACAGTGAAAGTGCATAAAGAAATCAAAATCATGCCTCTTTTGTAAATAAGGCAAATGTATCCAAATAATCAAGAATGTTTATTTGAAAATTGTGAAATTTGTGATATGTTCTGCTAAAGGGGTTTGCTCTATTGTTAATATAGTGAGAGTGCATAACTATTATTTCTTTCAATGTTTTCCCCCTGTATTGGTGTTTTAAGGAAACTCTAAACACTTCATACTAAAGAGCTCTGTTTATAGGGTAGTTTTATGCAGTTAGAGTGATCTGCCCGTAGAGGCAAGATAAATAACAATAAATTCTTATTTATACTCGAAGTAAACAGCAGTGATTTATCCTCACATATACTCAGTAGTGCATTGTCTTGGAACATTTTTTCCTATGGAAATGAGGCAGGTGCATGCATGTACCCTATGCTAAAAATGAATGAAGTCTCCATATGCACATATATATGATATTTTCTCTAAGTCCAAGTCTTAAGAGCTTCCTTAAGGTAGGATTCTTCTCTTATTTCTTGTATTTAAAAATTAACGAAATTTTCGCCGAATTCAAGAAGACAATATCACTAAGTTATGGTAAATGTATCAGTAAGATTAAATTTGACCGTTTTATATTAGAGGTAAGGTCAGGCTAAGGTCACCATTTTCTTGGACATTAATATCAAAAAAAATATTGCTGCCAATTATGCAATCCATGCTTGTGTTTCAAAAGATTGAATTTTTTTTTTTGCATAAAAAAATACCATAAAGAACATATAAGATGATATCACCAAATTGACATAAATTATGTTACTAAAATGGATGTTGGCAAATCCGATTTTTCTCTACTTTCTTAATTTTTTAAGATTCTCGACTTGTACATTCCGATAATGCATTGCGGCGGATGTTGGGGTCAAGCGAGGTCAGGGGTAAAACATGGCGAAGCGTCATTAGAGACTCGGTATCCGTTTAGTTCTTTTGCCACTTTGAAACACTAATTCATGTTCTGAAAAAACTCTGGATCCTCCGGAAATGTAAAAATGTGCATAATATTCCATGGACTCAACGATGGTGACAACCGTACGTTACACAAAAGTCATTTTTGCCCACGAAAACATCTGTTCAAAAGCTAACGTACGTTACATGTAAGATGCATATGAGACCTAGCTGAGCAATACCCTGGCCGAGATCCCAAATGCAGCTAGAAAACAGGAACAAGAACAAAGTCCCTACAATATTTTCCCACAAGGTAAGAATGCAATACGTAAAAAAAATCGACTGGATTTTAAATACATATGTGTTTTATACATGTTTACAACTGTTTCATGTACTACATTTAAGGAATCGCTGTCTAGTCTGTATAGTATTCTATAGCATCAACGATACTAGTAGACCCGTTATGCATAAATTATCCCACGTTTCCCACTAGTGTTGATGTCACTGGCCTGGCATACATGTACCTATGATACAATATACTAAATAGACAGTGATTCCTTATCCCTATTTAATTTTGATATAAAATTGTAGAATTAGATTTTAAAAATGTTGACTAATAGATGTAAATTATATGAGACCTCCCTGACTGCACAATGTATGCTAAAATGAAAATCAATTTATTGGGGGGGGGGATATGACAGACACTATGCTTAAAGGTGGTGCCCGATTTTGCAGTTAAAATCTTAAATTGAATAAATCAATGATCAGTGTTACTGAACCTGTAGCATGTGATTGATTGTATATTGTTTAAGGTCCCTCTCGAGATTTTTCACTCATATGGAGACGTCACCACCCGGTGGAGGGCTACAAATTTTGTCCTATACTCAGCACTCAAGGCCTTTGAGCAGTGAGGGATCTTTTTCGTGCCAGCACCTACTGTGACACGGGGCCTCGGTTTATACGGTCTCATCCGAAGGACCGGTCTCCACGTCCCACAGTGGTATTCGAACCCGCGACGTAAGGATTGACTCCTTACTTTTCAACTCTAGAGCAGACGCTGTAACACACAGGCGACTGTAGCATGTGTGTTCTTTTAAATGTATAATATTTTCTTAAAAGGTTAATATATATATCTAAGTAGATTGTATGATATTTTGTTTTTATTCATATAGGGAACACTTAGTAGAAGGCCTCCTAATAAATATGCAAGATCTTATAAGCCAGTAACAGCAACCCCATCTTGTTTTTCAGAAAGAACAGGTAAACTAATATGTTTATTTGGCAATTAGACTGATTTAACACCTTTTCAGATACCAGTTAAAATAGTTATTAAATAAAGTGATTATTAAAAGATATACTTCACAGACTGCAGGGAATGAGTTAAATGTTTAACTTTTTTTTATTTTAGTAGAAACTGCATCAAAGGCTGATAAACATCCAACAGCTACTGATGGACAGCATGAATTTGACCAAGAGTCATCTGCAACTGTTAAGGCAATACATAAATATAATTCAAATTTATGTTTGAAATTACAGACTAAATTTAAAAATATATATATACACCAATTGCAATTGTATATATCTGTAAAAGTTTGTTTACTTATAAACTATTTTTTAGCAAATATTTTAAATATTCTGTGGATTGCGTGCATGATTAATTACTGATTACTTTCTTAATTAATTTGACAGGCACCAGAGCACAATGGCCATGATTATTTGAAAATACTTTCTGATGAAAAGAGGCACTATCTTCCATCAGCTCATACATTCCAAAGGAGAGTGTCTGAGAGAGGAACGAACGACAACTCAACATAGGAGATTGGAGAGGAGGGTCCATATTTTTGCTGATTTCACTTCAAAGACCCAAATTTCTGTGCTGTTCAAAGAGATTCTAAAATATACCATGAAATGGTACCGAAAAATAATCAGTTGTTCAATTTTTGCACGGGCTTGGATCTTGAGGTTTTCAATGCATTTTTTACATATCTACAACAAAAAGCTTCTTCCATGCAGTATTTCCATGATGAAAGAACAACATAAGTCCAAACATTTAATCTGGATGGCTAAGGTGTGAAGAAAAAGCCTGGCATTAATACTAGTCAATTCAGTCTGCAACAAGAATAATGAATTGAAGCTTATAGTGAAGTGATTTTCATTCTCTGTCTTAAAAATATAAAAGCAATTTAACTAACAGATATATAAAAAAAAAATATGGTTAAAACAAAGCAAAATTATCTGTCCCTGGCATTTGTAGTTCTTTGTTATAAGCATGTTTTATTGTATATGTATTTCCAGATGAGATGAGTAAAATATTGTTATCTTTTATTATAAATAACAAAAATGACCAAAAGTTATATTGTCTTGAACAAAAAAAATTGGGAGTTGAAAAGTTATGCAAAATACACAATGACTTACACATCATCAAGTGCTAATTATGTGAAAAATACTAATACCTGTTTCTGTTTTATAAAAATGACTACAAGTATTACATCACATGAATATTGAAGGTATAATTATTATGTTGAAGGTTGTCTACCAGTAGTTTTTTTTTTCATTTGAAATGTGACAATTTCACAGAGACCTTTGACCTCAACAGTACATGTATATTGATTTAATTAATACATGTGTATTTAAATTAAATATTTAAATTTATGAAAATGAATGAATTACATTTTTATCATTTGAAACTTTCTTTAAATCTATGACTGATTCTTTCCATGTGATATTTTTTGTTTAAAATTGGATTGAATGAATGATTCACAATAGGATTTGAAAATATTATGGATTTTATCATATTCATGTTCTTTAATGTATTAAAGGACCATTACACCTTTTGTAATATGGTTCTACAATACATCAACGGACATGATAAAGTCCATAACTTTTTTATATTTTCTGTAGTGAATCCATTCAATCCAATTTATTAAACACCTTTTATATTAAATTTTAAAATAAGTTTTGGGGAGATTTTCATATTTCAAAACTTCAGGAGAAAAATAACAGCTTGGACCCCTAAACAATTGATTTTCTGAGACCTTTAGTGGATGTCTGACCTTAATCTTTTGTCAAAGGTCAACATCGTTACATGTCCAAAAATTTATTTTTACAATAGCTCTAAAACAATGTGAGGTATAAAAGTTTCACTATAAAACTTTCTACATCTGATTCATTGTTACATCCACAATTACTCGCACAGAAAGTTGGAATCCTCATCTCCCTCTGTTGATCATAAACATATCCCACGTTTATTATTAATTTCAGTTAAGCGTGCAGTTTTGCATTATGTCACAATCTTTCTCGACAGATGCACCCAGCGTAACTAATTCACGCCCTGCTGTGTGACTGGTCAACTCATATTATCAACATTGACAAGGAAATAGGCTGCTGCAAGAGATTAGGGTTCCAGTCGTAAAGCTTCCGGCTAGGAGGCGTCTGCCCTTTAGCTTGAGTGCAGCTGTTATCATAGAATGTGACAAAATGTTAAACTGTACACACTTAAGTCAAATTGATAATAACATACTGCATAGGGGCCTACTGTAAATATTTTAGAAGTGGTCAAAACTTATATAAATGTATATACACTGAAAACTGTCTAATCCGACACCTGTGAAATCAATCACAATGTAAATTCCAACCTAACATTTCTTCCCATTTTACTAATTTTAATGTTATTTTACTCTTTCAATCTGACATCCTTTCTATTCCGACACAAAATTCATCTCCCAGTGCATGTGATTGTCGGATTAGATAGGTTTCACTGTATATATACATGTACAATCAAAGCATAGGTAATTACCCTCAGTAAAAGTACCAACTGTACATGTTGATAATTTTTTCACAGCACAGTTATAGACAAATGTAAGCATACTGTACTTTCCTCTGCTGATTCAGTTCAAATCATTGATTACATTCAGTGCTTTGAGCAAACTAACAGCAGCAGTGTGATGTCAAAACAGTTAAATTAAAGAACTGACAAAACGCTGATACCATTATATTGCGTGCTAATATTGCATTCAGTCCTGTCGATATTTCAACATAGTTCAAATGACAGCTGTTTTCAGAAAAAAAAACCTGGTTGAGCACAGCTTTGGAGTACTCCGTAGCATCTTAAATCTTTGTAAACATTGAAAATTTTAATACATGCAACTGTTGAACTTGTATTGAATATATCATCAATCTCCTTGCAAGAAAATACAACCTGAGCTGACATAATAAACCTCTTGCACGTAGAAAATAGAACACCGAGCAAATTCGAAACGGGATATACTTCGAGGTTTCCTGTCTTCAAACCCTGATTATTTATTATTTTCTTCTTCAAATAAGTAATTAGTGAAATCATCAATCTATCTAAATTAAATAATTATGCCTAAATTATCTAATTGAGTCTAATACCAGGGATTCACATACTCTCGGTCTAGCATTGTTTACACTGCAGCGCTGGTTGTTTTACCCTAATCTCAGCGAGATGGGTAGAGACTGAAAATTTGGACTGACGTCTACTACCCATCTCAGACTAGTCCCATACAACGTGATTCGGGCTTTTTTGCTCCGACTTCGGCAGCTCGTTTCAATAAATACAGGCTGAAATAAATTATCTGCCCGCCTCAACTTTTTCCTTTGAACATCCCTTAAAGTGTCTATCACTATAAAACTTTCCTTTCTTACCTTTAAAATGTTTAAATCCAGTAAAATATAAAGTTGTTTATTTTTCCTGACAGCATAATGGCTGTTTGCTATTCATTTAAACCTTCGCTGCTGAAGAGTTCCACAATAATCTGTTTCCAATAATTCATACTATAGATCATTCTTATAAGAAATAGTAGTAGTACGAATTATTGGAAACAGATTATTGTGGAACTCTTCAGCAGCGAAGGTTTAAATGAATAGCAAACAGCCATTATGCTGTCAGGAAAAATAAACGACTTTATATTTTACTGGATTTAAACATTATAAAGGTAAGAAAGGAAAGTTTTATAGTGATAGACACTTTAAGGGATGTTCAAAGGAAAAAGTTGAGGCGGGCAGATAATTTATTTCAGCCTGTATTTATTGAAACGAGCTGCCGAAGTCGGAGCAAAAAAGCCCGAATCACGTTGTATGGGACTAGTCTGAGATGGGTAGTAGACGTCAGTCCAAATTTTCAGTCTCTACCCATCTCGCTGAGATTAGTTTTACCCCTGACCTCAGATTGACCTTATGACGCGCAAGCCTTGTACAAGTGGTGAATATATTAGTTATTTTCATATATGTTTCCTATATTCATTTTTTTTTTCATTTTCACATATGGTAAAGTTGTCACAAAAAGATACGAAATGATGCTGTAACAAAAACAAAAAGATTTGATCATTACTAAGAGAGAAAAAATGCTTTTAACGGATTTTTGGCTCAAATCTCTACTCAGATTGGAAGCCTATAAAAGCTAATAAAGTTCTAGTTTGTTAAAAAAAATCATATTTATTTAATATTTTTTGGATCTTTTGGCACCCATTATTAGTTAAACTTATACTTGAAAATTTCATCAAGTTTTTCATTGTGTAAAAAAAAAACAATTAATTGTTCTATAAAAAATTTGAGAAGCAGAAAAAAAGATATTTTCATACGCCACCACTCCGCCTAAACACAGTCCCTGCTAGTTTTCAAACGCGGTTTTCCATTTCTATTTGAAGCTATACAGTTGTGATGAGAAAAGAAAAAAGTGGTCTTCTAAATCTCTTACGCCTTATTATATAATACATATAAGCAAATGTACTTTAGATATTTCATCTCGTCAGAAGCCAGGGCAGAATCCTGCCTTAAGCAAAAACCGAGTATATAGATTTGATGAGCAATGACGTCTCTTCCAAACTCGAAGATTTCTTGAGCTCTGGATAAGATTCCTGCAGGAACGGACAATGCTGTAGTGAATTTGCATTTTCTTTCTTTGAGAATCTTCAAATTATGTTCCAAGGACATTTTAATATAAGCTTATTGCCCTCTTATAATTTAGCAAGAGTTCTTCTTTCAAAACGTTGTGGTCATATGGTCAAGGATTCCGTAGTATGGAGAAGGCTCTTTTGATTATAGTTTTGAAATGTATTATTTCTATGAAAATGCTCTCTGCTCTTTGTCGTTTAACAAACAAACCAAATGCATATTTTATGAAAAAGTTTTTTCTTCTAAATTGTGAGTTTCATGGCCCTGGTTCAGGGTTTCTTGTTTAAGGTACGTCGCTATTGATTGTATCATGAAATGCATTATTTATTCCTTTGGAAATCTTCTCTCATCTTGTGTTTTAAGTAGATGACAAACTATATTTATATGATAAGCAAGGGTGCCATTTTACAATGGGATGGGGTTTCTGTTGATTACAAAGTGAACGAAAGTGCATTATGTACAGAAAATTTCCTCTGTCACTAAGTATGAAACAAACAGATGCATATAATGATAACAAAGGGTATCTCTTCCTACATGTAATCTGTGAATACATGTTAATGCATGGCCTCTAGGTAAGGGATTTTGGTGTTAATGTTGGTCTGTATTATTTATGTAGTAAAATTACACCATTCCTTGAAAATTCCCTTTTCTGCTTCTGGGTATTAAGAAGATAAACTAAGTACATGGTAATGATAAGATAGGATTCCTCTTGTGGCCCTAGGTTCAGAGGATATTTAGAAGAGACCTCTTTGCTTTTAAAACGAAAAATGCAATTAGAACCTCCTATTAATCGAAAATCTTCTCTGCTACTTTGTATAATATATTTTTTAAAAAACAAAGTACATGTAGGTGTGAAGAAATTATGGACAAATGTACTTGTGACTCATTCAGTTTTCTTAATTTTGTGACCCACGGGTAAAGAATTCTTTTTTACGGTGGAGCTCTGTTAATTATGTGGTAAAATTGCATTAATATTTCAAAATTCCCCTTGCTCTTCGTGTGTTTACCAGATACTAAGAGCATGGTTTTGATGTAGCAAGGAAGCATTTTCGGAAAGTGTAAAATTACTTCCTGATTCAGAGCTTTTTGTGTTTGGGTGAAACTCTTTAAATCACAGTAATATTCTTTTACTAGTATTTCTATAAAAGTCTTGTATCGACCAGGGGTTTTTAGTGAATGAAATAGTGCATGAGCAAGGATGTCTCTTCAAAACTGTAAAATTCTTGCCTCTTTCGTCAGGGATGTGGAGTTGGGCTATGTTGAATCTATAGTGAAAATGCATTTTTTCTTTGAAAATCATCTTTTTCTCTCCACTTTTGGACATCTATAGGAGGCCAAAAGAGTAAAACTATACATTAGAAGAGGAAAGTGTATTTTTAGCAGATATCTGAAATTTTGAAGCACTTTACAGTTATTAGTCTGTATTCTACTGAAAGAAGTTTTTATTCGTTGCACCTGTTTTACTATTACAGTGTATCACTTTTATGCACGCAATGAAGTGTTTTTATTAACTGTATAGTAATAGTTCACAAATCCAAATAAAAGAAACACCTCTGTGCGAAATTACCTAGGAATGGTATACATGTACTCTGAATAGTATAATTCCCTGTCATCCTTGGACTTTCAGTAAGGCGTAGCATTCTCGGTGCTACGTAATTTACGTATTTCAAATGGCGAATAGATTCTCATTGGTTAAGAAATTCATATAACCTCAGGAACAATTAAATTGTTGTTGACAACAATTAAACGGCTTAAACCTCACCTCTTTGCAGTCCGAGATGCTTTTATTGGATAATTGCTACTCTCGTTGACATTCACCCAAATTTCTATCCCATGCTTGTTATGTAACGTCGAGAATACCACGCCTTACTGAAAGTCCAAGGTTAAAGGTACATGCACACAGTTTCAGATAAAAAAAAATTCAAATTTATTTTTTCATTTTTACAAATATCTAACTAAGGTCTTTCTAATGATCATCAAAATTTGAGCTTCAGTTGTTGGATACAAGACAGAATTAGAGCTCCAAACCTTTGTTTTGTAAACATGGTCGGTGTCATGTTTTTGTTTAAATATTATTATTAATTTCAATTTCAGTTAAGTGTGAAATGTTGCATAACGTCACGATCTTTTTCGGCAGATGCATCCAGCGTAAACAATTCACAATCTAGCTGTGTGATTGGTCAACTCATATTATCAATATTGACACAGAAAATAGTCTGCTGCACGAGCAACCAATCAGGGATTAGAAGAAACTTCCAGTCGTAAAGCTTGCGGTTAGGAGGCGTGTACTGTTAACCTTGAGCGCAGTGTCATCATGGGTTGTGACGTAATGCAAAACTTCTTACTTAACTGAAATTACTAATATAAAATATATCTGTACAAATATATTTTCGTCCAAAGCAGATGATTTCAATAAAAAAAGTTAATTCTTTACATGTTTTATAAATATGATTAAATTTTACGTGTAAATATAAATAAGACACGAGCCTTGTTTACATTTTTAAGAACTCTCTCGTTTGTAAATTAAAAAAAAGGAGTTCAACTTTCTGCTGATCATTAGATGATGCCTTAGTTAGTAACTGTAAACATGAAAATTGGTTGTAAAAAATTCAGCTGAAACTGTGTCCATATCCCTTTAACAAACAATTGCACGAAAAATAGTGAGGAATTACCAAGAGAAATTTGTATATTTTTTTCTGTATACATCAAAGGATCTTCATAATTTGATAGTAATGCAAGCTGGTTTGTTTTGCCTCAGAACAGTTACTAGCACTTTGATTTTAGAAAATTATCAGTGGGGAAGGTATTGTGAAGAACTTACATTGTATATATGACCTTAAAGTACATATCGAATGCAACCTGAGTGATTCTGGTATACAGTAATAGGTAAATATTAATGAAAGCGACAAACATTTTCTTAAATAATTATATGTCTAGAGTAAAAAAAATCCTCACAATTTAAGGTTTTTGATCCACCTTTTGAATTGTTTTAAATGTTAGTTAACTCATTTTTTTCAAGAGAAATATATTATATTTTAAGTAAAATACATGTATAAGCAATTACTGTATAGCTTGCTGGGCAAAACTGGACCAAGAAAGATATTTCAGCTTGTCAATTTTATGAATGAATAATAGACATTTTTGTCTTGAATAGATCTTTCTTATAAGAGTATCGATGATTTATTATTAATAGTAACTTTCACAAGTATGTATACGTCTAACTGATCTCTATTATTATTATTTAATGTCAAGTTGAACGAATCATGCAGTCACAACAAAGGATACGTTCTGAGAACTCAAAAATGGTTTATTGTTTTATTAAGTGTAATGTAAACTGTATTTACAATATTTGTAATTATTAACAACACTCTGGTTCCTTTGGGAGATCATCACAGACAAATCCTTCTTTTACTTTTACTTTTGGATTTCAAAAGTAAATCGGTGTAAAATTCTAAACCCTAAAATTAGAAAAATCATGTTCTAGCTAAGAAAAACATTTTTTTTTAATTTTAAAGACAGGAAGACATCCATTAAGTAATTAAATAATTCGCAGGAAAATTTCCTTATTTCCCTTGAAGTACTATGAAATTAACATTATTTGAATCACGTGATATCATTCTGCATATAATAAGTCAAGTACCATAGATATCACAAACTTGTAAATAAAACTTTCTATACATTAAGTATACATACATTAAGTATACATATATATATCTATTAATTTTAACTTAGCACAAGGTTTCTAGATACCAACAATTTCTCCTTGTATTCACCAAAAATAAATCGTCCATAATTGGCGGAGAAATATTGAAAATATTCTGATTATCACACACAAAAGAAAATTGATAAAGTCAAATACATATAAAAATAAAAAAAAGAACAATCCAGTTAACAAGGTGAAGGACAAACACATCCCATTTCAAATGAAATGGTTAAAAAGTTAAACATCAGTATTAACGACAAATGATGATACACGTAACAGGGTAATTCTCTTATAAATATTCAGCAATCAACAACAAATCATGCGTCAACCTCAAATTGTAAACAGTTACATATAATTGTTCTAAAAAGTTATCGCTAATTTATTGACAGTTTATTTGCCGATAGAAGGTGTGCTAGTTGTGTATGATTGCTAAAGCTTTCTAACTTTATCAATTTATTAATTTTGAATAGAATTTTATAAAAGGTGGTCATATGTTATTTGAACATATGAACACTGAAAATGTTTTAACATCTATAATAATTACTTCAATTATTTCCAAGTGAAATTTAAATACAGCTGAATGTGAATACAGATGTTTGATGTTGCCCACAAGTATACAGTCGCTGAGCTTTTGAATGAGACAAAATATTCTCTGATTGGAAATGAGAGCTGTTGCATCACATCACGTGATCGCCTCTTTGACCAATGGAATGTATTGTACTATCAACTCCGTCGATGAGTAAATGTCAGGCATCCACTGCGTTCAATGAGGTACGAGTTATCAAATCATGAGTTTAACTTCCCGTGGCTGGAATTCAGAATAATTTATACTCCACATACTCTGTTCCGGTAATAATTATGTAGAAATTAGCAGATAACGGAAGCTGATGACATCATTGGTATTATTTCGTCAACAACAAGACCCATCACAATGCTGCGGTTACTCCGGTAAAAAATTGTGCAGTAATCTAGAAAATTCTGGAAATAAAATAAAAAGAGCTTTGAAAAATTTAACAGGTAAATTGATGCTCATGCAATCAGTTTACTTGAATATCTACATCTCAGTAAGGGAACAGTCATACAATTTACATGATATACACTCTGTACATCTTTCCAACCATAGCTGTTATGATATCAAATGAAAGCGATTGAAGAGATTAAAGGTGAAAATATTCAAGATTTGAGATCATTGGACACAAAATATGCTATTATGTACCATAAGAGCCTACGCTTAAAAATTTAGCAAAAAATAAATTAATTGCACTTATGTAATGATGGGTATGGCACATCTTAAGAGAGGCATGACAAAAAAATCAATTTCAATCATTAAGTGTTTAATGTCAAAATTTTAGAAAAATTATCAGCGTTACGGAGGCATAACTTAAGTAATACAAACTGATATTAATAAATATGATATAATATATATTTCCCCAGTCTATTAAACGAGCCAACTTTAAAAAAGGTCTTTTGCTAAATATTCTTATTGAAAAAATATTGAATCATTGATGACAGTAAAATCATTTGATAAAAAAGTATGTACCGCTGTAATCTATTAGACCATCTCCGTTTAGATCCGCCTCCTTGAACATTTCTTTAATATCTTCGTCTGACAAATTCTCGCCAAGTCGCCTCATGGTGTACCTCAGTTCATGCTTATCAATATACCCGTTTCCATCCATGTCAAACACTCGGAATGCCTCCAGTTGTTTCTCTGATTTAGATGACGATGACGACGTCGAGACTCCATCAGCGCCCTCTACTACGCTATTGTGCGTCCACCTCCTCATCATAACTACAAATTCGTCAAATTCAACGAATCCATTTTCTGCAAAAAGAGAAAATACTGTATTTTTTCGAATGCTTAACGGGTATTCCATTTATTAACCAAAGTCTCTGTACAAAGACCTACAGCAAAGTTTCTCTAGGTATATGCTTTGTACAGTTATATTTTCAACATAGCTTTGGATTTGAATTGTAGATTTCACCGCGTCAATAAACGACAACTGCATGGCTGTAAAATTCACATCACAACAAACATTTTGCATATTTGAAAGTTTAATCAGGATTTCTCAAACACGATTAGATACTTAGTATATTTTATTGTTATCTGAACGATAGAAATACATGTACACCTCAAGTCCGAGCATTTGTACAATGATTCAGCGGAAGTGAACGCCCTAATAATAATTTTACTACATTTTACTTTATTCAGCTTGTTGGATGATTTGCCATCTGTAATTCATTCTGCAAAGCAGTAGAGTGCGCAAAATGAAATATCAAAACTACACTCATCTTTAATTAAGTAAGAATATTGTTTTCGATAAGGACTGGCTTAAATAAAACATCTTACCATTTTTTTCGGATTTAGTTATCCTTACCATTCGTGTCCGCATTCTTTATCATGTCTTCTACTTCCTCCTGGGAGTAGTTATGACCAAGGGTCCGTAAAACCCTTCCTAGTTCGTCACTGGAAATTTTGCCATCATGGTTTTTGTCAAAAAGTTCAAAAGCTTGTTTCATATCTATAAAATACAATTAAATACAAATGCATTATACAGTTTGCATAACAACTGATATGGCTCGCGTGTCGTAATTTTTTTTATATAATCGGCAATTACAGTTTGCACCGAATGCTGCCTTCGAGTTGAACCGAAGCATAGGCTTATTTTTCCCCTTAATCTGAAGATATTTTTTCTTCATCACGATTGTAAGAATGTAAGGTCATTCGATACAAACTTTCTTTACAAATCAAGAAAATAACAACTTCACTCAAGTTTATGTATATGAAATGTAGAATTTAATTTTTTATTAAAACCAATTACATGTTGCATGTCTAATAAAGTGAAGAAAAGGTGTACAGTTTTATATATACGACAGCAGAAATGTTGAACTGTGAACATCATACAAGGTTTAGCATATCTCAATTTTTAAAAAAAACATTTTATTTACCAATTTACAATAAAATTAGGTCCAAATTTTCTTTGTTACATCTGTCCTAAGGAAGGCTTGTCTGAGATGTCCACTGCCCGATTCATAAATTTTACAAAAACACTAAGGCTGAATTACAATCAAAATTCTCAATGTTAAGAATGACAATGTTTTCGCTTAGTTATGAAGACAAAGCTCTGGTCATACATGTAACTTTTATACAGGCTGCTAAGAGTAAAGTGTTGTTTGGATGAAACAGCTGCATAAAAAGAGTACTTAGGTTTTGGCACAGGATTTACCCTTTGTTATTTGCAACTAAGCACGAAACTGTCTGTATGTTTTAATTTTCCTTATCATTTTTTCCCTGACTCTAGAGCTATCGTCACAATATGATTGAATTGAACATTTAAGACATAAGAAGAAAAACACTCAATAATTCCAGTGTTGAGTACAATGAGTAGGAGATGAATTTTTTTCATAAAAACCTCGGAGTCTTGCAAACACGTCAGCTTATAACAACAAAAAGCAAGTATGTACACAAAGTGTACTTGACATACGCTATTTCAAATATGACCGAGATATTCGAGATGGAATTCGAACACAAACACATACAAAAACGTAATACCACAAATAACTTTACATGTATATGAAATAGATACAACTTTTTAAAGTCTGCAACGTTTCAACGTCATAGGAGATGTGTCTGTTTACATATTACATAACAGTGCACGCAAACCCTCCAAAAGATCAGCAAAAGTACATAAATCAAACCCTCTTCCGTTTATCTTAATGAGATAATGTGTTTATCGGACTGACGGACCCGATAACCGGATCATCCCTTGATCAATAACATCGGGCTCGAGAGACAAAGGGAGTCTACTTCCAGAAACAGTTTGCATGCTGGGAAAGTACTTCCCATTATACTTTTCATCCCCCTCAATTTCTTTTATTATTTATCAGGAAACTTGTGTGTTCTGTTCCATGGGAATTAGTACATTCAAGCTAAAAACAAAGATAAGACCAAATAAGAAAACCACGCACAAGGATGCAATTTTTATTTTGTGTATACGATTGGTCATGAAGGATGAGAGTCCCCTAAGACTTTTCATTATTCATGCTCTGACATAACATAGTTTGGGAAAACTTTCAAGTAAATAAAATTATTAGATACAACCACTGCAAGTGCTAAAAAAATTCAAGGACAAAGTCATAAAAAGTTAATTTTCCAACAAGACCATTTTTAATGTCAAAAGTAGACTCATCATATCACATTTAACGGTACATGTACTACGTTTCTCCCCACCTAAACAATTCTTTCCTTCGTATATCATGATAAACCTTTGTAAACAAGTTAGAAAATTGTACAAAAACATCATAATTTAAGACATAGATTAGAAAAAATTATTAATAACCGAACTTTGCTAAATAACACCCTGCAACTCCTAAACACGAGTTTTAAAGGAAGGATTGTTCACCAAGAGCCATATTATGACAGGAATCTTCAACTGATTGTGCAAAAATCTTGCTTGTTTACACCAAGATAATGAAAATATGACATTTTGCCATGGACATGTATTTATATTTCTAAATGTCAAACCTATTAACTGGCAGAGTAGTCTCGCTTTTTCTTATAATATAGTCTCGACAAAACATAGAGTAGCGTTTAATGTTTTAATTGCATTCTAAGGAAGACATTGACCTTCACAAGTGAGATTGCTGAAGTCATCTTACATGTAATGAAAGAATATCAATGTGCTATGAATATTTCAACATTATTCCCAACTTTGTTTTACCCCCATCTAATCGTAAAAGTACTGTTTGAAATTAAATCCCTTTGAACATTGTGTGCATTTCTAGAATATCGGCTAATCGACCGCCTGATACTTGCAAGTTCTGAACCTCAAAATAAACTGGGATTACAAGCAGCAATGACTCATCTCCATAAGAAATTTCCTAGGAAGTTTACTTAGACGTGATTCCGCCCATCTTTGTGAACTGTGGTGGATCAAAGGTTTTTAATTATTGGGGGCGGGTAGGTTAATGAATGATGTTTGGGCTTCAACACTTGAGAAATATATCGTTCGTCGTATGAATTACGGAATTAGCCATTCTGCGTAATCATTCTAAATAATAAGCATAAACAGTTCCATTTAATTATGATTCCAAAAAGTGCTTGCACATTAGTCCGACATTTATTTATATACAGTATATCCTAATACAAATCTGCAACTATATAAATTAAAGGTATATTTTGAATTCAGGGATATAAAATCTTTGGTAAGAACAGAAAATAAAAATTATAATATTTAACAAAATAAATGTGAAAAATGACTGTACCTAAATATCATGCATCTCTTAAAAGATATTTACATTAAGTTAAATGAAGGGAGCCGAACACTAAGTCAATTTCTTATAATAGATGTCAACATTAATCTATAACACTTGCGGCATGTGTAAACATAGTAATATTCAATTTTTAATAAGCGTTTTGTCAATGTAAGTATTAAATCACAACACAGAGTAGATCGCAATTATGTATTTGCCAAACATGCAACAATTTGATTTTAGATTTTTTGTTCAATTTCATTAAGGCAATCATGTTTCCTCCTACGCATATATCATTCTATTGGCGATAAAACAACCGAACATAAAAGACACAGAAAAAAGTGATTATATAACCCCCACATCTATACTTACCATGGTTTTCTTGGCTAGTGAAGCCGTTGGCCATTTTCTTGTTGGGGTCGCCATTTTTCGTGTCCATTTCGTTTTTCGTCCGACTTATTTTTTTCTTGGATTTCGGACTGAGGCGAGGAAGCTTTTTGCTTTTTGATGACTGTAATTAAAAAAAAGAATAATTCAGATGTCTTAAAGTTTGATGCATATATATAGACTGGACATCCTTAGTGACATTTTTCAAGGCATTTCAAAAATACATGTATATACACCTTTGCGGATTTTTTTTAAATATACATTATCTAGGATGCATACCAAGTAATATTTTGCATTATTTTTAAACTTTATCGATGTATTAACATAATATACATTTTGCAATCATCCAGACCTGATCAATATTAACATTTCTTTATCACTTTAAATATAGAATATACACGGGTAACTTTGAATTCGTTGAAACTAATACCTATTCATTTTCTATAAACAAACCTGACATTGATATACATATCTATCTGTGGAGATTTAATCTAAGAATAAAAAGGTCACAAAACAGAGTTTAAAAAAAACGAGTTATAGACAGACAAAAAACTACATAATCAATCTAAAGTATCAGGTTTTGTTTCGCAATCCGACGAAAAGGCAAAATTCACATTTAATTATCACCTTATTCAATAAAAAGAATGAAATTCAATTATTGTGTAGCTTGATTTGAATTGGCCTTTCATTCAGCTAGGGACCTTGAAGCGAATCAAGTAGCAGTAATGTTGCTAACATTTCCAATTCATTGTATTACAATTGAATAATCTATAGATAAATTAGGGATTAACGGAGAGCATTTACAGCTTTATCTTTAATTTTCTTTATGGATGGTCTGATCTGTCAACACTGCCGACAGCTCTTCGATTTTGGCTACATTGCTGCTGCATATACAGTCATAAACATTGATAAAGGATTTGACATTTAAATTCAATATAATTAAATTCTGCTCTATATATAAACACCTACAAACAATTTGATTTTTTTAATAGGTGTTGATCAGTAATTCAATCCTTCGCAGCAAACAACCCTACTGATGATTTCAAATCTTTAAAAATCGCTACTTTAACATTTTCTGAGGAACTTAAAAATATATTCTTCATAGATCCATGCAGACTCGTGGATTTATTGCAATGAAGAGTCTTTTCCTAGCAAATAGATTCATGTTTATAATAAGAATCTGCTACTCAACATCATATTGTGATTTTTTAGGAAGTTTTATGACTGCTAATGTCGGTGCTTTATAAACTCCTTCCCGTCTGGTAACCGTTACTGTGTTACAATTTACATCACCAGGCCACGGAAAATTACAGGCAAAGGTCAGAGCAGCTTGAAGGAATCATCAGATACCGATTTTTAGCTTCACAATGTTTACATGTAGAGGCTAAGATGAACAATCGCCACAGGAGAGAGAGAGAGAGAGAGAGAGAGAGAGAGAGATGAACAAGAATGATAATATTTTGCGCTATATGGCCTTATTCATAAGTTAAAAACACATTTTATGCAACAAAATTAAATTGCATCAATAAATGTAAGCCTTCTTTGTTGTAGTGTCTGAACAAAATACATGAAATATACAATTAATAATTGTTTTAAAATTTCAAGGTCAACAAGAGTTACACATTCAATTAAAAATTTAAAGTTTTCCTCAATATATTGGAAGAAGAGATAATTGTAATTATTACATAGGCATTGAAGCCATAAATCGATTATTGCTATTTGACAAAGAATATTATGATTGACGCCTCAGGAAACTGGGACTTGGTGCTACTGATGTACAAAGGATTGTCAGATCAACCTCAAATTAAAACAATCTTTAGAACAGAGAGCAAATTTAATAATTAAGTAGATAGATCATCTGGATTTAGAAATTTCATTGAGACAGCATCATGGTGACATATCAATAGTTATTTTTAATCTTAGCTATGTTTTCTTCGTGTACAATATAAAATATCTATTTTCAAGGACGCGTTTGATATAAATTTCCGTTCTCAAGAAAATAAAAAAAGATTTTGACGGTGCAGAAATATCGACTTATTTTTTTACTTCAAGAGACCAAAAAATCAACTCTGAACTAGTGACGTTAGCTGAGGAAGATGGGATCCTCTCTCTGCTTTCAATGAACATTCTCAAATTCCCTGACGTCATCAATATCTTTTTTTGAAAGAAAAAGGAAGTTGAAATAAAAGCAAGCCACGAAGAGTGGGCTGCCAGCTAAAAGGATATTTTGCATGGATTCAGTTGAGTTTTACAGTGTATCACATAAACTTTGCAATCCAGAAATCTGTTTTCCATTGACAAAAATTGAATACAACTGAAAGGTGTTAAATTATATACTTGTATCTATGCATTCTACTGAAAGTCATCAACACGTTGGTCTTTGGGGGTGGGGGGTGTTTGATTTTAATTATACTTATAAAAACTGAGACAGTTTTTTTTTGGATCACTACAGAAGTAATCTTTTTCGGAGGGGGGTATATTAGAGCAAATGATAATAATTCGCTTAAACATGTAAGCTGTCTAATATGCATTGTATTAGTAAGTGCTACAAGGTTTACTAAATAAAACTCAATACATCAACAAGAGGCCCAGGGGCCACAGCGCTCACCTGAGCACATTGGCTAGGAAAAAACACATATCAGATCAGAACTAAAAGTTTACTGAGATTGGGGGGTTGAATTTTAACCCCCCAGGGGATCATGATTTGAACGAACTAGAATCTACATTACCTGAGGATGATTCCATATAAATATAACTAATCATGGCTTTGAAGTACTTGAAAAGAAGATTTCAAAAGGTTTCACTATATATTCCTATGTCAAACTTTGGTCGGCCATTTTGGCCCCACCCTACCCCCAGGGGTCATGTATGAAAAAGCTGAAACTACACTACCTGAGGATAATTTCATTTGAGATTCATATTTCCTGTCTCAATGGTTCTTGAGAAGAAGATTTTTAAAGACTTTTTCCTATATATTCCTATGTAAAACTTTGATCGGTCATTTTGGCCCCACCCTACCCCCAGGGGTCATGATTTGAACAAACTTGAATCTACACTACCTGAGGATGATTCCACATGAGTTTCATCTTTCCTGGCCCAGTGGTTCTTGAGAAGAAGATTTTTAAAGATTTTTCCTATATATTCCTATGTAAAACTTTGATCGGTCATTTTGGCCCCACCCTACCCCCAGGGGTCATGATTTGAACAAACTTGAATCTACACTACCTGAGGATGATTCTACATGAGTTTCATCTTTCCTGGCCCAGTGGGTCTTGAGAAGAAGATTTTTAAAGATTTTTCCTATATACTCCTATGTAAAAATTTGATCAGCCATTTTGGCCCCACCCTACCCCTGGGGGTCATGATTTGAACAAACTTGAATCTACACTACCTGTTGATGATTCCACATGAGTTTCATCTTTCCTGGCCCAGTGGTTCTTGAGAAAGAAGATTTTTTAAAGATTTTTCCTATATATTCCTATGTAAAACTTTGATCGGCCATTTTTGCCCCACCCTACCCTCGGGGGTCATGATTTGAACAAACTTGAATCTACACTACCTGAGGATGATTCCACTTGAGTTTCATCTTTCCTGGCCGTATAATTCTTGAGAAGATTTTTTAAAAATGCCATTAATTTTTCTCTAATTCATGAATATCTCCCCTTGGAAAAGGGCATGGCCCTTCATTTAAACAAACTTGAATCCCCTTTACCCAAGGACACTTTGTAGCAAGTTTGGTTGAAATTGGCCCAGTGGTTCTTGAGAAGAAGATGAAAATGTGAAAAGTTTACAACAACGACGACAACGACAACGACGACGACAGACAACGGACAAATTGTGATCAGAAAAGCTCACTTGAGCCTTTGGCTCAGGTGAGCTAATAAAAAGGTAGCTTGCTATTTTTCTTATATAAAATGTATGAAATATATCTCTTGCCAAATATGATTCAAATACTATGGACAAAATTCATTATGATCTCTCAAATAGCGTTTTTGAGCTAAATGTAATACCAACATACTCGTGACGTCACGCTTCGCTGATGTATACCCATCAATCGTTTATAGATATTCAGATACTCGTACATGCACTGACTGGGGTTTTTTTTTCTGTGTTGGACATAAAGTTTAATATCTGTCTAGGGGGAATCTCAATCTCGCACAAAATAACCCCAGATTTTAGAGGTTCTACCTGGCTCAGAAAAACCCATGAAAAAATATAAAATGACATCTACACATAGCATGGTATGATCTACATGTGCATGCGCAACCGTATAATCATCACGTGATTCTCATTCGGATATCCACCTCTTTTTAGACCCAGAATCCAATGATTCATCCAACATCTTCCAAGTCTGGTAAATTTGTGAAAGGTCAGAAGACATATTAAAGCACCAAACATATTTCTTCAAGTCGTAATCATGTCTAAAATGTTCTCCCTTGCGATTTGTCTATATGTGCATCACCTTTAGATATATATAGATACCCAGATATTGATCTTATTTGACCATGTTGACACGTCTTATATCGATATGCTGCTATTTTTGGAGATTTATCATTGAAAAATTATTATCTAAAATACTAGTAGAGAAAGTTTGAATTTTTCCAAAATACATATTTACCGACAAATGTACTCTAGATAACACCTTGTAGACGAGAACCCAGGTTCAAAACAATTTTTGTTAAAATATACATGTACCATGCATGCTTTACATCTACGACTGACCTATCTCTTGAAGACGTACATGCACATGTACAGGTTGTACAACCACTGCTAATAAGCATGGTAAATAAGCATGGTAAGCATACCTATTTTGATTCATATTTATGAAGATTTCCATACCCCTTCTGTTTTAAATTAAAACTAAAACAATACGTTAGAGGAGTTTACTTTAAACTCTATTTTTGAAAAATCCACCCAAAGAAGCAAGTAGCCCAAGAACAAACAATTCATAACGTTATGGTACAGCTGTATCAAGCAATGACGACTTAAATTGGGGAAATGACACAAATCAACTGAACATGAGCAAACAAAGCTAGCAAGCCTTAATTTTTGTATTCCAAGACCTGAAATGTTGACAAAGCAATAACCAAATGGGAGGAAATCCCCTCCTAGCCAAAAATAAAA